GAGTTGATCCCATCGATCCATTAACAATTGTTCTAATGCATCAACTGGAAAAGACTTGGCCAACCAATATGTAAGATACTAAAAATAAATATTAACAAATATTAATTATAATAATAACACATTTATACAATTATCATAAAACTGAGATATACTTCATGTAAAAATRAAACCAAATTATCTTTTAGTAGGAATTTGAAATAATAATCAAACATCTGAGAGAGTTTATTAATTCCAGGCCATTCTTTTACAATGGTTTCTTCAGTAGCCATACGCAATGCAAAAGATTCTGGTAGAGAAGTTAATAGCTCTCCTTCTTCAAGGTTAATAGTGAAACCCTCCGATGGCGTAAGAGGAGTTGGAGCCCTTTCTTCATGACCACCTTCTACGTTAAACCCAAACATTTCTCCATAGTCTCTTGTTTCTACAAATGCTTCTAATTGATGAAACAATGCACTAGAAGGTTCATCATTTATCAATCGAATTTTGCTAATTGCTTGATGGTTTTTAACTTCAAGACACTAAAAATAAAATTTTTTAAGTAATTACAATAAATAATTTTAAGTCAACAAATTTACCATWGACACGACAGAAGAAATATTATAATAAGGATAAAACCACTCTATTGCATAATGTAACAAATAATCTATACCATATAAACTGGATACACTATTCAGATTTTCAAGAACACACTCAAATGAAGGTATTCCGGGAAAATTAATACAACGTTTAACCTAGAAAACCAATTACAAGATAATTATTCATAGTGTTAATCATTATTTTTAATATAATACAAATAACTATATAAATAACAAATATAACTTACCCGAATCGAAAGTATATCTTTGATGTTGGAAAATGAAAATCTTAATTGTGGTAATAATATTTCAATTGGAGAGTCCAACTTATTTACAGTACCATGTTGGATTTTAATTACTTTATTAGTTGATTTAATCATGACCATTTTACCATCTAATAATGTCTTGGCCAAATCTTCTTCTGGAATTTTACCTAACTAAAAAGATTCATTAAAATAAATACTTAAAAGTTGAATCAAAGAATAAATGCTTACTTGTCCTTCATGATTACTACCCCATCCCCAAAGTTTATTGGCAGCATCCAAAGCTAATGTAAAATCAGCTCCACACCTAACTTCTTTTATTAGTGAGCCACTAGTTGATGATGAGTCTACTATAACTGAAGGTGGACCAACTAATGTTATAGTTGGAATGAGTCTCTCACGTATATTTGATACACCTAATTGTCCATCTAAATTAAGTCCCCAAGTATATAATTGTCCCGTTGTACTAATCACAGCTGAATGGTGACAACCACAACACATCTAAACATGGGAATTATTATAATTGTTTATTAAAAAATATGTATAATTAGTTATATTATTTATACTTGAAATATGTCTCCAGAAATATGAGAAGTATCCACAAGTGTTGGACTTAAATGTAATAAGCCATCATCAGCAGTTAATGCATCAATTTCTGCATCATCCACCTGAAAGTCAAATATAAATTAATTAATGATAGAATAAAAAAATATATATTCATATATAAAAACTCACTTGATCACCCTCATTTAAGACGAGTTGATTTCTAGCTCGTTTTTGTGATTGAGCATGAAATCGAAGTACTTGTGGACTACTACCCCATGTATATAAACGACCAACATCACTTAAGGCTAACTAGATAATTTAAATAATAATTAAAAATATTGATTATTTGTGGGGAARTATATATTTTAACACAAATACAACCATTACATTGCATTCAACATTTTTATTAACACAATTGATATTTTATATCACTTCATAATAAATTAATAATTTTTTTAGCTTTAGAAAAAAGTTATCTTTTTACATCTTATACAAATATTATTGTTATTATTTTTACTATGTATTTTTGAGTTATACTTACATTATGAAAATATGCTGTATAAATACTCTTGATTGGTTCAGGAAGTCCATATACTGGAACTGGACTAGTAATTTTTGTTGTGCTACCATTACCTAATTGACCAAATGAACCAGAACCAAAAGTGAATACTTTTCCATTGCTCGTAAGAATAATACTATGTGAATAACCTCCGTATGCACTAATAATATTCTTAACATAGAACAATTTTAATTAAAACAGTCAATTTTTTGTAGTTGAAATATAGTATTGAAATTACTTCATTTTCTAAGGCCTTCAATAGTTTTGGTTTTTCACAATCATCAATAGCTCCGTGACCAAGTTGACCATAAACACCCCAACCCCATGTCCACAATTTTCCACTAGCAGAAATGGCTAAAGAATGATATTGGCCAGCCGAAACACTAACGATCAACTCATTTGCTAAACTATCCACTAACATCGGATATGGAGCTTGACCACGTCGGCCAGTACCCAATTGACCATAATGATTTGATCCCCAAGAATATACCTAAAATATTTAAARCTTAGTTAAAAGATTTATTTATTCAAAATGAAACTTACTCCATTTGTAGTAAGAGCTATTGAATGATTTCGACCACATGCAACTTGAATAACTTCAACACGTATGTAAACAAACCAAGAGACTGGATTTGGAGTAGCAGTTTTAGTCATATGTGGTCCAACACCCAAACAACCGTATGATGAATGTCCCCATGTATATAGTTTATGGTTACGTATATGAGCAGCATGAGCCCAACCAGCTCCAAGACTAGACTTGTGTTCTATCTCATTTTCAGAATCGAAGACATTAGAAATAGGTTGGTGACAATATGATACCGATTCTACAAAATTATCTGAATATTGATTTGAAGATAGTCTGGATATTATCATTAGATAAGTGGTTAACCATTCTTTAATGGAATAATTAAGCTGAAAAATATTTGGACAAATGAATTGTAAAATACAAATTATTAAAAAATTATTAATTTTCTAAAGAACAATATCACTTTTTCAATTTCCAATCTATAAAAAGACTATTTGAACATTTGGAAATAGGTTTTAGAAGTTTTTATTTTTTTCTAAAATTTTTAAAAGACTTAACAGTTATAAATAATAAATAAATACTAAATATATACAAATTTACTTACGTTATCATCTTGTTCGGATATAGACTCAGTTTCACTTTTTAATTGAAATACCTTACGTAATATTGGTCGTAAAGCTGGGTTGGTTGGGTCATAAAGTGTTTTAAGTTTCTAAAGTTTAAACCAAAAGGTTTAAAACCAATAATTATTTATGTATCATTGCAATTTTAAGAACTTACTAAAAGAACATCTTGAGACACATTATGCAAATTTGCTTGTACAAATTTAGAATGAAGTGTTGTAAATTTATTACAGGCAACCAACACTTCTGTAAAAATTGATTCTGACACCAAATCCCAAAATCCTTCAGTTACTAAAACAATGACATTTATAGTAATACATAAATATCATTCAGGTTTAATTTGTAAATGTCCGTTATTAATCTTTATACAGCGAGATTCATTTAATGTAGAAGACACTCATTAGTCAAAAAGTATAAATGTTTTTGAAAATATTTTTTTAATATGGTCTTAATCATTAAATCGTTATAAAACAATGTTTTTATAAAAAAATTCAATCATCCCAGTTCATAAAAATATATTTCAATCTAGGTACAAGTTCAAAAATTTTTAGATAAAGTTCTTTGATATTATTTAATGAATAATTACTTACAGTGCAAGTATTGACTATCAGTAGATTGTTGATTCATTAAACTGACTAAGACTGTAATAACTTCATTGTGCAATCCTCTTTCAACTGCTAAAAATCTTAACACATTGCATAAACGACTTTGGCCAACAATATTAACGCATAAAACTTCATCATAATGATTATTTTCTGACAATAAACGCCTAGATTATAAAAGTAATGTATCATAAATCTAAGATTCAAGTTAATTCAATCTGAAAATTGATTTACAAAAATTTTGCTTCGAGTCTTGTCTTTTCTCGACTGGTAGCACGTAATAATTGCTCTGTATAGCTCATTACAGCTAAATTTGAAATATGTAATCTTTCCAAAGCAGTGAGATCTCTTGGATGGGCTTGTTCTAAAAGTGTACTCACAAAAAGAACAACTTTGTCTGTATTTCCAGAAGAAGCTAATCTAAGAACACGTTTTAATGGATTTGTCTGTAATATAAACAAATCAATAATACAAACATTTATCAAAGTAAGTAAAAGTTTGAATCATAATTATTTAAACCAAGTATGTGTAAGTATAACATAATAACTAAACTCTAATCAGAATAACAGTTTACCATGCAGCAAATGAAAACTAGTAGAGTAATTGTATGCTCACTTCACCATGAATAATAATTGCTCCTGTCTACTACTGACCGCCATCAATGGGTAACCATTTTTAGAAATTCTTACTAACGCTGAAGGGTATAACATTATTCAGAATCTCATTCAATGTATGTAAAAACAGTGACTGTTATTCTGAATAAAGCATAAAAAACTATAAATTGATAATTTATTTACCTTTGACAGTCGATAAAGTTGAGTAGCTTCTTCAAATTTTCTGGCACTAAGCTGTTGATCAGCAGCTCTTTCCAATATAGGTCGTATATCAACATCAAACGCTTCTGACAAATKATTTGCATGTTCTAATGCACCATTCATAACATTTTTAAATATTATCTCTTCTGGTTTAATACTAAAATATGATTAAATATAAATTTACAAGTTATTAAAAATAATATTAAATTAAAAAGGGCAATTTCTTATTTTCACCTTAAATTCAAATAATATAATTTACAATTAGTAACTATTGCACACAATTCAGAAACAGTATTATCTTTTCGGCTATGTTGTCGATCACACCTTTTTTTTTTATTGGTTGATGAACGATTTTTATTTTTA